TCCTGCTGCCTTCACATCAGTACAGCGAAGGGGAGTGGAAGTTTGCTTGAGGTGCTCACAGCATTGAACATTTCCCTTTAAAGCCCCTGAAAACTTGAGGCATCTTTATAAAAGGTTTTCAGAGAATTCAGCACTAACATGTTTTTGTCATTCTGGATAATTCATTTTTTTTTTTTTTTATTGTAGCCACTTTATAATGAAGAAATTCTCTATGGAAAGCCTTATCTAGGATGACGCATAGGACCATAAAACACTGTCACCTGGAAGTGTTTTGAATTCATCAGTCAGGTACACGTGGCTGCTGTCCGGGTCAGAGGCTATGAGGTTGATCTCCTTCTTGAACTCCTCACACAGAGGGTCGCTCTCGTTCACCACCCCAATCACAAACATCTCGATGTTACTTCCTTGAGCTTCTGCCACCGCGCTCTCCAGACTGACTGAGTCCCTCTTGTCAGCCTGCCCATCAGTGATGATGATGGCCACCTTCCTCACACCCACACGTGCCGCCTTGAACACCTGGTTGGCCTGTTGGATGGCACTGCCTGTGAAGGTACCCTCACCCAGGTAGATCATGGAGCGCACTGCGGACTTAATCTCATCACGAGTGGCTCCCTGTCTGAGGCTGACCACCACCATGTTGATGTGGCTGTAGAGGACCACGCCGACTCGCGTGGTGTCCCGGGTGACTGAGGCTCGGTCGATCAGACTGTTCACAAAGTCTTTGACCATGTTGAAGTTTTCAGGGCCGACACTCTCAGAGCTGTCAATCACAAAAACAAGCTCTAAGGGGGTCTGGCGGCAGGTCACGCCACAGCCTGAGAAAACAGAGCAGAGCCAGAGGCAGACCAGTAGTTTAGTCACCTATGTATGGAAAAAGAAAGATTTCCACATCCCCTTGTGACTGATTACTTACTACATATGGATCTCACTATTTTGATGATTTCTTCCCTCTGTGGATGACAGCAAATGCAACACTTAAAGCTGCTTTGTCACTGATTTATATCTTGTATTAAATCTATTTAGGCCTGCTACATATTCTTATTTTCATTGTTCAGAAATGTCTCAATTATCTTGTCCATTAATTTCTCTCACATTACAAAAAGCCAAGTAAACTCCTCCAGTCATCTTATGTTTCCCAACCAACAGTTCACACTCTCATAAATCTGAGAGAATCTGTTCATTTTAATATTTAAGAATAATTTTCTGTCAATTAATTGACAAATCTCTATTTTAGTTTAGTGAGTGATGCACTGTACTGTACATACTGTAAGTCCAGGTTCTCCCTTCTGTCCCATTCTACCCTGTGAATAGACAGAAATCGTTATTCGCATACTATAAATCACTCAGTTAAATGAATACTTGTTGTGTGAAGGAAGCGGTTTTCTCTTATATCCATGCTGAGATGCCTGCAAGATACTGTATGTCCTGCGTCAGGCTGGTGTTCAGCGTTATGCACAAGGTTACTTGGACAGATATAGTCATGGCAGTCAAAGAGAATCTCTCACCAAACTAACAAAAACTTTGAAAAATTGCCCAGAAAGTCCATTACCAGAGGTCCAGTGGCTCCTGGCTCTCCAGGTTCCCCTGCATCTCCCTTTTTGCCTTTCTCACCTCTGAGCCCTCGGTCCCCCTGCAACAACAACCAACCTATTAACCAAAATAACAACGTAGGGCTGCCTAACAGAACCCTGTAGGTATGCACATATCTGTACAACTGAACAACTGTGAACAAGCAATCCAGACAGACTGTGGTTTGTATTTGTTGTTGCTCTGGCATCTTCTGAGCGGATGTGATCATAGAATTTGGATCACAGAACAGTGTTTTATTTGAATTGCCTTTCACTTCCATTTGAAGCCATTAGTTTTCAAGTGTTGCTCTCAGCTAAGATAATTTTTAATTAGTTATTACTCATTTTGTATATATTGCTGGTATTTTCTTACCTTTTCCCCCTGCAGACCTTGTCCAGGAGGGCCTCTGGGGCCAGGGATCCCCTGAAATCCTGGCTCACCCTGAAAACACCAAGCACAATTCATGCCTAGGAGAACTTATAAAACAAGATCTAACCTAAGTGGAAGCATGTGCCTCTGATCCTAAGCTAAATCCTTTCTACAGTGTCATTTTCACTGAAATAAAACTTTTGTTTTATAAGCATCCAACAATAACATATCCCATGAGTCTGCCAACAGCTAAAACTCATGGGGACTCAGGTGGTTTTAGTTGTTGAACGTTAACATGTTTTCCAATACAGCAGGAACATCTTTAAGCTTCTTACAAAAACAAGCAAACAAAAAAACCACCAATAAAAAAAAACATAAAATAGGGAAAATAAGGATTCTCACATTTAACTTTAAATTAAATATTCTGCCCTGATTCAGTATCACCTCATAATGGAGTCTTTAGTCTAGAGCATTGCTGACCATCACTGGAAGGAAAAAGAAGCATTTTTACTCGAATACAAAAATAGACTGATGAACCTAGTCAGGACACATAAACTGCCTTTTACAACTGGCTATGCACTGTAGTTACTGATCAAACTGACAGATGATAGTGGTACCTTTGGTCCTTGAATGCCCTCTCCAGGTAGCCCCTGCAGACCTGGTGGTCCCATTTGGCCGACTGAACCCTGCAGGTACATTAGAAGATGAAAATACCAACATGGTTTCAGGCAGTGTACTGTAGTTATTGCTTTGACAAATCACACACAAGCCAATGTTTTACATGGTGGATTACCTTGGGACCAGGTAGACCAATTCCTGGTGGCCCAGCAGGGCCAGCGGGTCCAGGCAAGCCCCTGTCTCCCTGAAAATAAAACAAATCATAACTTCTATTTTGTTCTATATTGTAAATCAGGTAGCACTGGAGTTCCAGGACTTTTATGTCATACATTTATGAATATTGTTGGTTCTGTATCTCACAAGAAATAATGTTTTTATTGAAATATGAGGGGGAAAACATTTTTAGAGTGTAACTTTGGATTTTAATCTCTTAACATTATCTGCTGACACTTGGGGAAATACAAACACAGTTAGTGTTATTGCAAATCAAATTACCATAGAAATGCTGTGCTTTTCCCTGCATAAACTTTTACCTTTGGTCCAGGTAAACCAATGCCTTCTGGTCCGGTCTCTCCTGTCAACCCAGGAGGCCCTGGAAGTCCCTGAGACATAGGGAGAAGAAATGGTGATAAGGATGTCTGCAGTGACAGAGGAGGCTGTATTATAGGTTGATACTCACTGGATGGCCGGGGAAGCCTTCACCCTCCAGTCCAGGTAGGCCAACAGGTCCAGGTGACCCTCTGTCACCCTACAGACAAAAGCACACCACTTGGCCTGTACCTCTAATGAGAGAATCAGTGAAGAGTTAACCTGAGCTGAACTCACCTTGGGTCCAGGTAAACCCGTTCCCTGTTCTCCTGCAGCTCCAGCTGGGCCTTGTGGACCTGGTTCTCCCTGACAAAAACCAGAAGTGGGTGAATGAACCAGATTCACTGCTGGTCACAGTCACAACAGTGTATGATGGTACCATGTGTGTTTACCTTGGCACCAGGTAAACCCCTCCCTGGTGGTCCAGTTGCACCTGGAGGCCCAATACTTCCCGGTTCTCCCTGGAAGAGTAAACTCTTATCAGGCAACAGATACTGTGTGCAAAAACAGATTTCACTATGAACATCTAATTTGCATTTTGCTATGTTGTTATATCAATTAATTATAAGTAATATTATTTTCAGCAAGGTGTCAGAATGTATGTTTGTGTTCACTCCTGCTGTCCCCTTTGATAATAACATACATTTTCTAACTGTAAAATGTTTCTTTTTCTCACAAATAACCAGGTCAAATAACCGGGCTCTTCCCTAATTTATTTTTTATAATTCTGACTTTGAATTCTGAAACAAGACATTTCAAAATATCTTATTCTATGGGCCAAGAAGATAACTGGTACATTAATCGATAATGACACTAATCCTCAGTTGCATGCTGCCTTAATGTATTCTGATCAAATCGGATCAAATTCTCTTCAGCCTCTTGTTGGTTTGCAGGTATGATTATGCAACAGTTTTATACAAAATGCTTTTGCTATGCATACACATACTGTACCTTTGGCCCCATTGGCCCCACAGGACCAATGGCCCCTGACAGGCCTCTGGTCCCTTTGTCCCCTCTGTCTCCCTGCAAAAAAAATTCAGCACTGTCCAGTACTGCTCACATTTTTCCAGAGTCCTTTGAATCATTAACTTTGGGCTAAACTTTTAGATGAGTGCACACATCGCATAAAGACAATTGTATTTTAAAGGCATACGTCATATATTTCAACATGTTTGCATGTAACTTTTGTATACAGTTTGAGCCAAGTGTGAAAAATGTCTTACCTTCTCTCCAGGGGCTCCTTTACCAGGAGTTCCGTCAGGTCCCCTGGGACCCGGTAACCCGGTGTCACCCTGCCATCAATACAAGCCAGTGAAACATGGGACTATTAAGACTTTTGTTTTTTTTAATGTATCAAAACAGATAACTGATTTTATGTCATGATGTTACCTTTGGTCCCGGGACTCCATCCTCTCCTGGCTGCCCTGGTAGACCTGGTAACCCTTCTTCGCCTGGGTCACCCTGACAGGAGAAAATAACACACAAGAGCACCAGCTGGGTCCAAACTGACCAGGAATGAAATAGACCACTGAATATAAACACTGAAGCAGTACTGAAATTATCCAAAAACTGATCTTTGTAATGAATGATTTAGGGATTAAAGCTTGTCTTAGTTAAATGACTGGTTATTGATTTATTCTTAATGTTAATGAATGTTTAATGTTTTAATATTTTACCTTTTAGAGAACACCAACAGATCCTGCAATTCAACTTAAAGGAATAGTTTGTGATCTTAGGAAATGTGTATTTTTGGCTTAGCATTAAGCCTGGAAGCAAAGAGAAACAGCCTGACTCCCTTTAAAGATAAACAGCAATACAATTGCCACATCTGATACATGCAAAGACAGAAGTATAAAGTCTTAAAGCTAAGCTAACCTGTTATTGGCTCCAGCTTCAACGAACATCAAAGTAGTATCTATTTTCTCATCTGAGTCTCAGCAAAAATGTGAATAAACATATTTCCCACAATGTCAGTTCTACTGTAGAAAGATACTATTTAGAGGACTCACTTTGGATCCTGGTTCTCCCACTCCTCTCTCACCTGGAGGTCCATGCTCACCTCTGAGGCCCTGGTTCCCCTGAACATTTACACAGACAGTAGCATCTTTAGCATGTGTTTCTACTATGGAGCGTGACATAGAAATTACATGTAACCAGCAAGAAAACTGGTGAAATTACAAAAAGTTATGATGCTGAATTTAAGAAATAATGTAGTCTGCTATTTGGAAGTGAAGTCCCCTATCAGTATGGAGGAAAAACGCTCCTAGAAAAAAGTAAGACTTGCATTATTTTCTATTTTAACATTTGCTCCTAAGGACATAAAACTCTAAAAACTGGTCACAAATACAGTATGTGGTATCATTAATCATTTCCTAAAACATAGTTCTGGGCACAGAAAATGCTGAAAAAAATCTCTTAACTCTCTGAAATTAACTTTAAATGAATTTATTCAACATCTCAGAGTAGGAAATCACTCCTAACTGGCCAAAGATTCTCAGAATGAAACATTTTGGTCCAACTTTTAGGAGTAGAAGTAAGATCAATTTATCAACTTTTGTTTTTATGTAACTTTATTATTTTAAGACTAAGTGTTCTTTCTGGCTTTTGACTCCTTACCTGACTCCAAAGGAGAGCTGCACAAGAATTCCTATATGCCTAGACTGTCTGTTTATGCATAAATGGCAAATAAAAATCTTGACTTGACTTGAACATTCCTATCTTAGGAAATCAGTCCTATCTCCACTAGTATGTCAGAGAGCTCCAGGGGTGTCCTAACTGGTTAGGAGCTACCAGGAGGTGGCATTCAAACCGAGACAAGCACACAGAGGAGGAGATGTGTTTTAATTATATCTATGAGCTCGTTAAAAGATACAGTTTGGCCATAAAAGGAACAGTTTTGTGACTGATCTTGTGCAAGGTGCAGCTGCTCCATCAACAAGAAGAACACACACCGTCTCCACTGAAACTGCAGTCGTTGCATCTTTAGGCTGCACATTTTACTGTGCAGCAACAGTGATGATTTGAGTCTGTCAAAGCCTATGGTTTTGGCCGTAATAAACCTTGATCTTTATCACAGCTGCACTGATAATGTACTGATTTCCTCATTTCCACACCACTCACTGTTAATCAGTGAAAACCCAGCTACAAATACGCAACTCACCAATCTCTTTGGACATGCTGGAGTAATCGATGGCACATACATTAAAATAATCACCGTGAGCACCAACAAATGTGCTTCTGTTAATCAAAAATGTTATGACAGCATTAACACTAAAATAGCTGTGATCTTTGATTTACTGGATTTAGTGGCCACATGGATCCACACACAGCTCAAGTGACAGTGAGAGCGGACGGAAACTTTTATTTGAAAATAATTATGTTCCTCCTGAATACACACCATTATTATACAGAATTATAAAATAATTAGGGCTGACGAAGACAATTTCACACAGGTGAGTCACATTATGAGTGGCTATCCAGTAAACTTTCAGCCTATTACAGAAAGACAATTGATTTAAAGGGCATTATTACAACGCATAACAAACATGCCATTTTCTGCATTTCCATTTCTCACTGTCTAAAACTACAAACCTGACTGTCAGAAAAACTACACCACGTCAGTATAATGTCGCCTTGTCACATAGAGAATCAACGTCAGTATAATGTCGCCTTGTCACATAGAGAATCAACTGACTGCTAATTACAATTGCTATCTTAGTTTCTGTTTCTGAGACAAACATCGTTGGGGTGGCTGTGGCTCATGAGGTAGGGCAGTTGTCTCCTGACCAGCAAGTTGGTGATTTGACTCCCGGTCTCCCCGCATGCCTAAGTGTCCCTGAGCAAGACACTGAACCCCGAATTGCTCCCGGTGGCTTGACTAGCGCCGATGCATGGCAGCCTGTCGTCATCGGTGTGTGAATGTTGTGTGTGAATGGGTGAATGGTGTTGGTGATCTTCTGTAAAGCGCTTTGGCCAGTGCAACACACTGTGAGAAAGTGCTATATAAAATACAGTCCATTTACCATCCTGTCAGTTCTCTCTCCTGTTTTACCTTAGGTCCTGTTATTCCAATACCTGGGAAACCTCTGGGTCCTGAAGGTCCAACTGGGCCTTGATCACCCTGAAAGAAAGAAGATGAAAGTGAAAACACAATCTACACTGGCTCTATACTGGAGTGAGTTGGAAAACACTGGTAACTTTCTGCACCATAAGTTTGTTTCTAACAATCAGCACCAAACAGTCTCCCATCGGTCAATCCAGATTTTACCTTTTCACCTTGAAGCTCTAACCCAGGAGCACCAACTGGACCTGGAATGCCAGGTGGTCCGATACTGCCCTGGGAAAAGATTTTTCTGTATCTTCATATCATAAAGGTATGCAAAAATCATTAATACCTTGACAATCAATTACAAGGTATAAAAACAAGTTGACGTTTAAGCTTTGTTTCAATCCCAGGTTTATTTACCTTGTCACCTTTAATCCCGATACCTGGAAGCCCACGACTGCCCCTTGGACCTTCATATCCTCGTTCACCCTAAAACAAAGACAAGATGTCTGATACACAAATCACTGTTCTCAAAACTATTTTCAAGGGCACTGTGGCAGCATTGGCTGTCAGCTGCAACACTCGTGTCAATGTGGTTGTTTTTAGTCAAACTCTAGTCATAATACAATAAATCTGCGCACACACTTGTTTAAAAACTGCTAGAGTCGATGCCATAGAAATCAAAAATGACCTTGAAAGCTTTGAAAGATGTTAGGTTTTCATATATTTGTTTGTTGACTCCATAAGGATGACAACCACTGTGTCCAGATCACTTCTCTGTCTATTTCAACCCTTCTTCACATTTGTTTTCAATATTGAACTTATCAGGGACAAGTACATGGACCAGTGCAACGTGTCACACTCTTTATAGCTTAAAGCAGCTCCTAGAAGGGCCTTTATCCAAATATTGTCTGTACTTAATAGAAAACCACATGTAGTGCTTTCCACAGACAGTTATTATAGTTATATGACTTAAAATGCAACTGAAAAGCAATAGCAGAATGTATATTTACAGTAATTATAAAAAAACAAAATCTAGTCTTGGTGGCAAAATACTTGCAGCAGCTGATAATTACAAACAGTTAATTATGAGAAGGATGAAATCAGTGAATTAGACACTGTCAGTTTTAGTTGAAGTAAAAATTTCCAAATATTCGGGCCATTGTTTTGAACTATTGCTCTACACTAACACCTGGTTAAAAGGTTTACTCACCTTTAGCCCTGGAAAGCCCTCTCCAGGTGGTCCTGGGATCCCCTGTGCTCCAGGTGGTCCTGGGGGACCCTGCAATAAACTGCCAAGTTATACTAAAACTCTACATGTAAAGGTGAAGGCTTCAGTAAATGATATAAAATAGCAAAGATCCACTGGACAACTCTGATCTATAGATAACTAGATAGATCTATCTATCTATCTATCTATCTATCTATCTATCTATCTATCTATCTATCTCTCTGTCTGTCTATCTCATTTTGTTTATTCACTTGTTGAAACAGGATATATTTATACAGTACCTGTCCGTTTATACAAATAAGCTGTTACACTCTCAAGAAAATGTGACTCATACAATGAACTTGAGCTTGTAAAAGATCTTGATGAACAATGCCACAAAAGACCAGTTTCTTCACACTCACTGTTAGTCCTGGTTCTCCTATCCCAACAGGACCTGCAGGACCTTGTCTTCCCTGAATGCCCTGTTCACCCTAAAAGCATCACACATCACCAGTCAACAACTTAAAATACTTGACAGTAATTCAGTAATAAGGTATATATTTTTCCTCTCTTTAATTATTAGGGTTTTGTTATTATCAGGAAACATTTTATTAAGGGGAGGGAGTACATCAACTGTTTCACATAAACCTGCAGAAAGAGTGCACCTTCAGAGTACATTTAGGCAAAATTTTGAGTTGAGGAAGATTATATGACTGTAGCAGATGTTTTGTTGTAATTTTAAGAGTCACCTTGGCTCCTGGGAATCCAACACCAATTTCCCCTGGTGGTCCAGAAACACCACTGGGCCCTCGGTCTCCCTGTGTGATAGCAGTTCAGCACAACAAAATAGGTTGACAAAATAAACGGACAAATAGTGACTAAGTGCATCTATCAACTAACACAGGGGCCAGCCCTCCCAGCCGGCCAACACTTCAGGTTTGTTAACGACCCATCTTCTCCAAATACAGAGGAGTATTATTCAGAACTCAAAGTATATTTTGGCAGAACTAAAATGTGATGAGTCTCAGAACAAAAACTCAGACAATAACAAGAACCATCCTAGTCCAACCTATTCACATAACACTTAAGATTTGGGGAAGCTTTTAGCATTGGGACAAAATCCTCTCTAAGAAGAACCTCAAAAAGGAAGTATTATTATAATCCATCTAGAATTTTGACAGCAATATTTTATTCATAAAGCATTAAAACTCAATTCATATTTGCATATTTGTTCATATTTACACTGTAAATTGAACTAAACAGTGACTACAGTAGATGTATAAAAACATATATTGTCTTTAATCAGCAAATCCAAATGGCCTGTATTGTTGCTGCAACCTTTTCTGGCATTTGAGAAATAAAAAGCAGTGCTTTGTTCCTTGTGTAAAACCTGATCTTGATTAATGTTTTGACTTTTCCTGAAAGTGATATAAATCAAATTATATTTCTGGATATCTGGATAAAGACATCTTTGTGAAAAAGCTGCAGACAGCTCCGCAGTGAGGCATCAGCATCTTATTAGCCTTGGGCACACATTTTAAAGGTCTTTTTTATATTGCCTCTTTTTTCACTGCTGTCTGACAATACAGATGTTCTGTGGGAAAGTGTCTGTGGAAAGCTGCATGTGAATAGTGGTGTGTCACAAATGAAAAAGACAATTCTACTATTCCATAGGAGAAAAGCCCCACATTTCTAAATGATATTAAATAACTTCATTTACTGAGAGAGCCTTGTGTGTGTTGATAGTTACTGAGAGAGCCTTGTGTGTGTTGATAGAGGCATTTCAGATCCTGTGGAAGTGGAAATGTTTTACTCTCTAGGAAAACTCTTTAAAAGGAAAGGAAACTTCCTACAAAACCGCAAAATGTCATTTTATATTTCTTCATAAAGTGTGGTAATTTGAACCATTAGTAGGTGTGTTTTAAATTCAGTGCGATCCAGGCTAGCTGGTTCCCCCGGTTCCAGTGAATTGCTAAGCTATGCTAACTGCCTCCTGGCTCTTGCCAGGATCATACAAAATCATACTGTAGACTATATATAAAGAGGGATGGCTCACTACCACATCCTGCCGCTATACAAATGTAAAGCCAAAATATCACCCATCTTGCTTTTTTGAGAAATTTTGCAGTCACATTTTGTGCAGTAGCAACCAGAGGTGGAGTTGTGGTATCAGAGCCAATCAAAGCTACCAGTTTCTTCGAAATTACAATTTTACTCTCAAACATGAGTATTTTTTTTATTTCAAAATATTAAAATGTTGTTCTCAGATGTTAAATCTCAGATTTTTCCCCCTAACTGTGTCCTATCACTGAAATCACAGCTACATAAGCTTGCTAGCTACTGTAGATATTATGGGAAACATAAATATGTATTCCTACCCAAATGGTTAATAAAAATTATAAAATACTTTTGTTTATTTTTATACTCTGTATTAGCATAGCTTTTGGTTTGGCATACATTGCTGTGTCCTATCTTTTTGACAATACCACTGGGAGACATCAAAGTTAGAAATGTGAAAATCCTGATATATACAGTGATGTTATCTGTATGTAGCGCTTGCAATCAACAGCCAATCCAGACAGTCAAAGTGTTGCTGCATGAAAATAGCACACCAGAAATGACAGAAGACAAAGCTGAACATTCCCCCAAATTTCAATGCATGTTGAGCTTTCTGGGGAAACTTACCTTGGGTCCTGCTGGGCCTTCTGGACCCATGTCTCCTGGTGGCCCCATCAAACCCTGCATAACAAATGTATGTACAGGTTTTTCTAATCCTTGAAAGCAAACATTTATTTACTTTAATCAAATTCATAAGTACTCTACAGAATTTGTTGGTTTCCTGCGACTATTTAGGGCAATTTTCTTACTTTTGGGACAAAAGTTGAAATCAAACGGCACAAAACAACTATGTGTGAATTAAAAATGAAGCTCCCTTACTGTAGGACTGATCTGCTGTTCAAAGCCAACCCACTATGACTGTAACATCAACAATAATAGCTTTCATGGCGTGATTCTCAGGCAAAGCTAACAAAATAACAAGGTTATACTAAAACAATGCTAGTGGCACAAAGGAGGAAGAGCAGTGCTGGGCATCCAGGTCCCTGCGCTAATCCCATGACACAAAATCTGTTCCTGCAAAAGAAAAATATCCTGCAAGCCTGGATTCACTGCTTTGGATAGCCACATTAGTAGCAGGATTACCCATAATCCAATTTTCACATTCCATTAGTGCAGGACTGAATACAGGACAAATTCCACTTACATTTTTCATATTGGAGAGTAAACAGACTGTTTGATGTCAACATATCGTGATGTGTGAAACAATATGAAGAGCAGGCAATGAACTGTATGATCAGGGGCATAAAGGATGAGGGGGGGAAGTGGCAGAAATTATGATAATAAAAATAAATCAGGAAATTACTTCTGAACTGAAAAACAGTTATAGACTGAACTGACAAATGATGAATTGGTTTGATAAATATAATGGTAAATCAACTAAAATAGCAGCCTATGAAAGTTTATCAAAAAAAGCCAGAAAAGCCAGAAGGTTTTCATATATGAAATTCACCTGCAAAAATAATATATAATTGTTGCTGTTCAAGTGAACAAACTGATGCAAAGCCACTGTACCTGTTCTCCTTTTGCTCCACGCAGGCCCGGAGGTCCTGCAGGGCCCTGCAAGATGGCACTTCATTCATTACTTGGACAAAGTCTGTGGCAGTTGTTGAAACATTTTAGTAAATAATGACCATACAGTGCCACCCTTTTCCCCTGGAGTGCCACAGTCTCCTCTCTCCCCCTGTAAGACAGCACACTGATTAAATCCTCTGATTGCTTTTTATGAACATGTCAGTTTATTTGATGAAAGTGAAACAGTTGGACTGTTGGTAAAGCTGCAAGTCAGAGCGATACTCACCTTGCTGCCCTTGTAACCTGGAAGACCCTGTAGAAAATGAAACAGCTTTGAAGTCTGATTTAATCTCATGAGAACCATATTAATGCTAATAGTTGTATAAAAACAAGGTATATATTTATACCTCTGGACCATCACTTCCAGGTTGACCATTCAAGCCAGGCTTGCCCTTATAGAAAGAGACTAACAATGAGCACCACAAAATCAAACAATGAAAAATGTTGTTTCTTTGTGCTATTGACTTGCCCTCGCTCCTTTTTGGCCATGCAGCCCTCTGAAGCCTGGGTCTCCTTTTCTACCCTGGAATTAGTAATAGGAGGCTGGTTAGATTCTGAAAGAGAAGATGATGCTACATATGTTTATGATAAAGAAATATAGAGCAACCTAGTTAGAGTGAGTATTCTAAAATTTTGGTACGTAGTTTTTTTGTTTTTTTTTACAGAATTTCTCCAGTATGATTCTAATATTAATCTAATTTACCCTTGAAAAACTTCCTGGAGTTCCTGCAGGGCCTCTCTCTCCTCTTTCACACAAACACACTTGTGACTGTGGACACTAACAGAGAGAAACACAAAATGTCGGTACAATCATTTGCACTTAGTCACTAGAGATAAGATAAGTGCAGAATTACACAGAATAACTTACCCCTTCAAATGCAACTGTAGCCTGGAAGCAAAACATCATAAAAAACAATGTCAAAGACAGTCTAGTTACAGATTGAATATAATGTCATGATGTAATAAACTGTGGTACATGTTTATAAGAAATGATCCTCCTTGTGACATTTATACTTTATTTCTTACAAGCTATAAATGGCTGTGATTGACATCAAGCCTATGGAAAGCAGAACAAGCTGTGCCAGTTGCTCAGACAGGGCCTGACCTTCTGTAGATATTTGACATTTCTGAGTGTGGAAAATGCAGAGCAGATGAGAAAGTCCCACTGTACAGACACAACTCTGAGTCTGAGGGCTGAACCCAGTGTGAGGACAGAGAGTGCAGAAAAAGGGGGGGACATAAGGCTGCATGCTGCTGATAGGCTGCTGAATGTACAATAGACCATCAGTGCTTCTTCACCATGTGGAGGGCTAAGATGCAGGCATGATTTTAATCCAAGGAAATACAACAGCAGCTGCTGGTATTTTGCTGCCCAGCTCAGAGCACACGCTACACAGGCGGGAGGTTCATTTAAATGACGCTGCCTATAGTGAATTGTTGGTATTTTGGTCAAGAATGTGCCACCAAGGAAAGAGATCTCTGTAGCACATCTGTTTCTGGTGCAATATAAATCTGCTGACAATGCCTTTGTGCCATATTTTATGGTGTAATGTGACCATACAGCAGAATAGATGCAGTCTCATCATCATTGTACAAACTGGATAAAAACCCACACCATCTGCCACTGGCTGAAGATCTGAGGTGTTGTTTGTTCACATTGTGCAGCTTTGCACCATATAGACAACAATATCATCTCCTTCTCTTTGTGCCATTGTGATTGGCACAGCAAAGACACCACTAATGTGACTAAGAGTGAATTCATTAATCACCACATCCTGTGATGTATATTCCACCTCACTCAGCATTTTACGCTTTGTGCTCCTGCACCTGCAGAAACCAAAAAGCAAGAGCATTTGGAGACACCCACAGCAAAGGCACTACCACGTTGTGCTCGAGTGACTGATGTGGCTGTGGGAGTTTGAAAAGCTGTCCTTCTATACCAGTGTCACATTGAAGTGTTACAAGCAAGTTGCTGCTGTTTCTGTTGTCAACATACATACAGACTCATGTTACTTGAAGTCATTTCACTTGAAGCAACATTTACCATCTCTTTGAGCATCTTCTCCTCAAGTTGAGTATCAAGAAGACTTTGAACAAACTGCTGAGCAGGTGTGCTGGCTATGGCCCGGAGCTTGGCGTTATTTGGGCTCTGCTGGGCAATGTCCGATAACCCCACAGTGAAGAACTTTATTCCGTGACCTTTGGCCTCTGTTGCAGCTGCAATCACATCAGGGTTGCGTGGATGGTCCACCCCATCGGTCATCAGCACTGCAACCCTGACGCTGTCTTCCTGTGTCTCCTGCACCAGCAGCTGTGAGGCATTGGTGATGGCATAGGTGGTGTAGGTGCCATGGCCAATGTAGCTCATGGTGCTGACTTGGCCATGGAATGAATCCAGGTCTTTCCAGGCTGAGAATCTATGCTCTATGGACACGGAGCTGCTGTACTGGAGTGCAGACATTCGCACCCTCAGCGCCCAGCCAGCTACCTGCAGCATGAAGAGCCTTGTGCTGAAGCTCAATACGAAGGACTTCTGCTTCTCAAATAGGAAGATCTTTGCACTCTCAGAGCTGTCCAGGATAAAGGCCACCTCCAGTGAACATGTCAGACCTGTGGGAGAAGCAAAACCACCAAAACCTCAGACAGATGTAGAGACTCACTATACTGTAGAAGAAGCAGTTGGTGAAAGGCTGCGCCTGCAAAGTTGCAATACCTTGCCTAAATCTGCAAAGTTCTAAAGGCAATGTTTGTATGGTTTTCAATATGCTTATATGTCTTCTAAAGAGTTTCTACCATCTTTTTACAAAGAGTTACAGGCCAGTAGTGGTACTGGATTCAAATTAGTCATATTTCATGTCGATATTCAATATTTTTTAACCTCCTGTGTGTATTTTTTTTAGGCATCTGCAGTTGCAGTGAAACAACTACTCCATTAATTGATTTTCTGATCAACAAAAAGCTAAGCAGCAATGACTTTGGTTATCGAATATCTTTTGCCGTCGGTCGGCCAAATGAAATCGTTTCAAGGCGTCACCCTTAGACTCTCAGAAAGTGTGATGAGAATTTTTCATATTTTCACATTTTGTAGACTAAGTTAATTGATTAATCAAATAGCAGTAGATTAACTGATACTAAAAAGAATCATTACTTGCAGCCCTAGCATGCATTGCTGTCTGCCATGTGTCTTTTTTGATATTACCACTGGGAGATGCCAAAGTCAAACATTTTCAGATCCTAAACACGAGATGACTGTAGTCAGTGGAGTTTCAGTACAGCATAGAAAAAATGACTAGTCAGTAGCAAATCATATAGGCAGACATAACATATCAAACATGATAAATAGCTTTTATCATATCAAAAAACTTACACAGATGCATTGTTTCCTCAGAGAGTTTTAATTTTACCACGATACAAAAGTCTGTGAACCACCATTTACAGGACAGTCGACATCTCTATAAACAAAGACTCATGCAGTTCTTTAAGGCTTGAGCTGCCCTTAAGGAAGGGAGACCTACTTGTTCTTTCCACTTGTAGGGTTAATGGTTATAGTTTCATTTTTCCTCTCTGTCTTAATCAATTGATTCAGTCACTGGCATAACGAACTGCAGTGAATATAAAATATCTAAAAAGACATTCAATTAAAACTTCAGAGCTTTAGTTTAGATTTAACCATAATTTTAGTGACTTGAACATTGAACATTGAGGACTTAGGATGTTGGTGACTCAACTATTAGACTGGTGCCACCATCCATATTGATCAAATATGGCCCAGCCCAAATTTTACCAGTGAACCTGACAATCTGTCCTGTTCCCCTTTTCAAAGAGGTACAGTACAAATAATTCCAGGAGGGAAATGATTTTGTGGTGAATGTCTGATGATCCTCCTACCTGAAGTCTGATACACCTGCTGGATCCAGTGTTGGATCCTTTGCTGCTAACGTGTGGATACCTCATTTAAAGCATTACCATTTTTTTCATCACCATGGAGCCTGTAGTTCCCATGTCCTGTCTTACTTCTCTGGCCTGTGGCCACTTGTATGAAGGCCAACAGTAGAAGGCAGAGCCCTGCTCCTGTCCTCAGGTTTCCCCCCAGCAACATTTCCATCCTAGAAAGTAGTTACATGATTTATTATGAGACAAAGAAATGAAGAGTATATACAAAGCAAAATATATTCTGGAGGTGTCATAAAGGTCACCAGCATGTGTTATTATTATACATCCTACCTACCACACCCAGAGAGCTGCATTTTCTGAAAGTGATTTTAATACTTTAATTTGCTCAGATGGTCATGTTCATGATGTTAAAAATGCATTTAATAAAAATCTCTGCAATGTTAATGTGTTGAAATATGTAAATGAGCATAAAGCCTAAATATGTGTAAATACTAATTTGTCTAAACAAGTTTAAATTTGAAGTGTAAAATACTGCAGCCTTTAAATAATATGTAATAAATATAAAAAATAAAGCATTTGTAAATGTATATTGCCTTATATGACTACATTAACATAATGACCTGCTTATGCTCCAATACACACATCAAAATTAGCATTAAAACTGTAACATGACACAATAAGTAAATAAATAACAAACTGGATATGCAAAAAAAAATTAAGTCATTTACCTAGAATCTCATTTAGCAGCAGTCATTGCTTGCAGTCCAGCACTGGCTGTGTGAAAGACATTTCACTGTGGAATCAGGTCCCTGAGGTAAAGTGAGGACCATCAGATGAGCCAATGTGCTGTGTGTGTAGCTAGGGGGCTCTGGGGCTGCTCCAACATTTCTGCACTGCTCTAGTTCAACATGTGTTGACCGAACGAAAGGACTTTATTGTCCTGACTGTCCTGCCACCCCCACCCACCCATAGACACACACACACACACACACACACACACACACACACACACACACACACACACACACACACATTAGTGTAGCTAAATTTGAGCTCTTGCACATGGAAATTGCTACTAATGTGAAAACCAAATGAGTTGTAGTATGATTCCCATGTACAGCACAGATGCTGACCTTATTTTAGGTAGTATTAGGTTAGTAGGACTTATTGTGATGTGTCAGTACTTCTGTGAACTATATTTTCAATCTGTTATTCAGTTATACTATTGTGATGATTTGCAAGTGAGTAAATGTCTTTGCACTCCTGTAGTTAGGGCACCCTCTGGTGGAAAACAACCTGCTGAGCGTAACCGGAACTTTGAGTAGCTGACTGTCCTGGCACCACGGACATGTTTAGGTGTAACGCACAACATTCAAGTTGTTTCTGTACGGCGTGTTTATGGCAAATTGAAATTTACTCGGTGATTTAAACCATTTGTATGTGTGTAAGTAACGCATTATCATTAATATTGCAAAGTGTTAGCATATGGTGTTGATTGATTCAGAGATATGTGCTAGCTAATCAGCCATATTTTGGGTCTTCATTCAGTCAGTAGTGTTAGCGTAAGTTAGTTGAGCTAGCATATCAACAAACTTCTAGCTTTAGTTTTAACTGGTGTAACACTTTGGCAAAAATCACAGACGTACTTTACTTCGCATGGCTCATTTATGAAAAACAAATGCGTTGTCTAATAGCTAGTTAGAATCAAGTTGCCATCTTTCAGACAGAAAGCTCTGAAAGTGGCAGCAGTATCTTACCTCTGCAGCTCATTTCTTTTGACTGGTTATATTTGCATAAAGTCCAGTTAACCACTTGGGTTAAACACGGTTTTTATGAATGAACACATATCAAAATACAAACACAAATCAAAACTTTGTAAATTATATTTTTGAAGTGTTTGGAAACCGTTCTTTTTCGTTGATTCATGATCCTTTAACGGGTATCAGGTTTGTAGAAAAATTTATAAAAGCATTGGATTTATTTTACTAATCAAAACACGTTAAAAGGCAGTAAAGCTTATTATTAGTTTCGAAATTCTTAAAATATTTTTTTCTAGTCTGCTGTAAGCAGTAATGAAATTGATACACATTTTTGTTTGTGCTGTTCAGTTCTCCATAATCAATATTTGCTACTTTTCACCTATCACAGCCCAGGTTGTCATTATTGATTAATTAATGATATTATTAGGAATTGTAGTTGTATAAAGCTGGGAAGGGGTGACAAAAACATTAATTGTAGGCCATATTTTCTGTGCTGTTTTTCATTGATATGTTTAATACTTTGGCTGTAATGACCCTGAAACAGGTATTAAATAGCATTCTCTTTGCTATCAAAATGTCTTAAAAAGTCTTAAATTTGACTTAGTGAATCCTGTAGAAACCCTGTTTATGGTTTATTTGTATAAAATATTACTGTGGACTCACTAGTATTTATCAGTGTGCTAATTTCTCTGTCAATCTGCACTGTTTCAAGGTTGTAGAAAGCAAATACTCTTGACATTCTTCTAGCTGCTTCTGAATCATGAGTGGCTCAAAGTCAGACATCCTGTGGTCTCCCCACCACCCGGACCGCTATGTCATCTGTGACTCGGAGTTAGGGCTGTACCGTATTGGACCTGTTGGCAGCTCAGAAGCCAAGGCTGGTACTCTCCCACTCTCTGAAGAAACTGCTGCTACTTTACTAGCCATTAACTCTGACACCCCTTACATGAAATGTGTTGCCTGGTACCCAAAGCATGAGCCTGAGTGTTTGCTCGCTGTGGGCCAAGCTAATGGCAGAGTGGTGCTAACCAGCCTGGGCCAGAGCAACAGTTCCACATGTAAAGAGCTGGTGGGGAAAGATTTGGTGCCCAAACATGCCCGCCAGTGCAACACTTTAGCCTGGAACCCCGTGGACAGCAACTTGCTGGCTGCTGGGCTAGACAAACACAGAGCAGACTTCTCTGTCCTTATATGGGACATCAGTAGTAAGTTTTCTCCGGAGGCCAGTATAGCAGCTGAGAAGATTCGTCTCTCATCTGTGGATTTGGACTCGAGCACAGTAGTGACCAAACCATTGTATGAATTAGGCCAGAATGATGCTTGTCTGTCCCTCTGCTGGCTGCTTCGTGACCCAAAGCTACTATTGGCTGGCATGCACCGGAACCTTGCAATATTTGACCTGAGAAACACAAGTCAGAAAACATTTGTCAACACCAAGGCCATCCAGGGGGTGACAGTCGATCCGCACTTCCATGACCGTGTGGCATCCTTTTTTGAGGGACAGGTGGCCATCTGGGATCTGAGGAAGTTTGAGAAGCCTGTGCTAACACTCACCGAACAACCAAAACCACTCACTAAGGTATAACAGAGTTTGTTTCTGATGAGAACAGCTAATCTTCACACTGTGTTCAGTTGAATTGGTGTAAGAATTTTGTTTTGAAAGCTTTTTGTTTGTTTTGAAGCTGTAATTTATTTGTAAAATATTCAGGACATTAGATTTTGTTGGTATATTGTTGGTGGTTAATTGCGAAGTTTCTTTTATTGTTTTCAGGTGGCTTGGTGTCCAACTCGTACCGGCCTGCTGGCCACACTGACACGCGACAGCAACATCATCCGTCTGTATGACATGCAACACACTCCTACACCCATCGGCGATGAGATGGAGCCCACCATCATTGAGCGCAGCGTGCAGCCTTGTGAAAGCCAGATCGGCAGCTTTGCTTGGCATCCATCCTCTCAGAACCGCATGGTGGTGGTGTCAGCAGCCAACCGGGTCATGGCCGACTTCACTGTGTTTGAACGCATCTCACTGGCTTGGAGCTCCACCACTTCGCTCATGTGGGCCTGTGGCAGACACCTTTACAACTGTGTTGAGGATGGGGCTGAAGGAGTGGAAAGCATGATTGACAAAGACATTGCCACAAAGATGAGACAGAGGGCTCAATCCAGGTATGGGCATGATACCATCCAGGTATGGAGGAACCATATCCTGGCCGGAGGGAACGATCCGCAGCTCAAATCCTTGTGGTATGATTTGTTCTATATCCTTAATGTTCAGGAAGTGGTGGAAAAGCCTGCCTACTGGACTAGTAGTCACTTTACTGTTGATATAATTAATATCAATAAGGCTGTGATACTGTGCAAAGATGTTCAGTAGTTTTTGTACTAGTCCTTTTTACCCAGAGTTTTATTTTTTTCAGACAGCTGGCCAGCTGTGGAGAACACATTTTCTACTATAGATACTGATATTTGAGTGTTACTAAACAAATTACTGTTACAGCCTCTCTGTCTAGAATCTGTGTGTGTGGGCTTGTTATGTCTTTCAGATTATTCTGATGGAGTGCTGATGTTATGATCTTTGTGAAAGTAAATTGGTGATGTTGGTAAAAACATCCTTCTACTAATGAAATCCACCAAGGACTTGTGTTATCTACTATGTTATCTATTGAC